GATGAGATGATCTTGTTTTCATCTCTTTACTGATGCTCTTTTAAAGTTGAGCCGTTTCATTCCTTTGAGCTGGCTCTACCTTTGGGTACAGCTCATTTCATTAGTTTCATGCTCTGTGTGGTGGATTTTATCGCATACTTCTTGAGATAATCCTTGCTGCCAACTTCAGGTTCTGCACAGTGTAACGCAGCAGTCCGAGACTTGATTCTCCATCTCGTCCATTTGCATGGAGTGGAAAAATCTGTTCCTTGGCAAGTGACCTTGCAGGAGCACACGCTTACCTCGCGTTGCAGGGATGCGTGTGAGCCGTTGGGCTTGTTTGGTGGGATCTCTGTTCCCATTTGCTTGACCAGTGCTGCTTCAGTTTTAAGCTCTTGAGGGCAGAGACTTAATTCTTGTGTTGCAAAGTCCGTGTCTAGATGGCTGCTGTGGTAATGATGTGTCTTTTCTTGCTTTGTGTGGGAAAGAGGGGTCAGCTTTGGTGTGATGGTCAACTGGTTTCTCTGCCACTTGGTGCCGGACAAACCTGTTGTTGGCTCCATAGGTCTGTCTGGGTTGATGTCAGTGAAGGACCCAGAAGGGTTTGAAGGGATTTATTTGACCCTGCATGCTACTCCTTTTAGTTGCCTGTGTGTCTTGTTAACAAGGAATCCTGCATAATAGGATGCACTGTTATTTTTAATGTGACCATGAAGTCTCACTTCTTTACTCTTAGTTGTGTGGGATTTGGAGGTAACAAGCATGGAGTGGTCCTGTGAATGTGCCAGCCACTTGCAAATGATGTGGCCTTGATGATTTTTCAGGAGTTCTGACTGGGAAACGTACTCATCATGCACAAGTCTCATGGGAAATGCACGTCATTTCCCAATGCTTGCTTGGTTTCTCATTGAGACCCTCCAAACTTTGTCAGCAGTATCCTTCAGTAAGGAGTCCTTCAAGCTGTTGTCTTCCTTTGGCACCTGTATCTTCTACTGAAAGAGATGGTGAATATTCAGTCCCTCTGTGTTCTACCAGCTACTAGCAGTTTACGCAGAGCTTTGTCCTATCTCCTTCCCACCATCTCTTTTCCAGACTGGACATCTTACATCTTCTGGCTGCAATACCAGCAGTCCCAGGGTTGGCTGCTCGTTCCCATCCCTGCCCTTGTGCTGGCTAAGCAGCTGTGGGCAGGACAGGCTGGGAACTTCAGCTGGGTGCAGTTTGGAGCACAGACTTAACTATTTGTTGTCACCAAAGAAAAAAAGCACATCCTACCACCTGCCCCACACCCGCAGATCTTCCCTGGTGGTTCCACCACTACTCTTTGCAGTGGACTGGTCTGTCTGTGGCTGAGCTTGCAGAGTCACCGAAAACAGACCCAGCCCGAAGGAATGAGTAGCTTCTCGCTGGGTGAAAGCGTTAGTGGAGCTTGAGGAAAGAGCCAGCAAAGCAGCACAGCTGGCTTGTACTGTGCAGCAGAGAGATGAGAGCTGCAGGACCTCTCCGTGGTGGCATCGTGCTGTTCCGTCCCATCAGCCACGCTGTGCAGCGTCGCTGAAACCCTTTTCACTCGGCTGTTTTAATCCCGGCTCCTCGTGACATTCCGTAAATCCTTCTTCTGGCAGGAGGTGGGCATGTGAGGAGCTGGAGCCAGGGCAGAAGATGACGAGAACAATTCCTGCTCCAGTGTTTTCCAAATGCTCAATAAGTGCTAAAAGATCACCTGCTCCCTCCCCTCCGGGGTAGGCCTACCTTGTTCTAGCTATGCAGTTTTTTACTACGGGCCCGGCTGGTAAAAGTGTGCTTGGAAGAGCCCCTCCTCAGGAAGACATCTGTTACCTGTACCTGGCACTGATAATGCACAGAGGACATGAATTCACATCATTCTGCCTGCTGTGGAATACGGGATTTGTTTACTGGGCCTTCCTCTTCCCAGTTTTTTGGCTATTTCGAAAGGCTGGCTGTAACATATCCCAAAACTCAGTTGCTCTTGCCAAGGCCCACTGCGAATGATGGGAGTATGGATGAATACTTATTATAAAATTCGCTTTGATGTATTGCATGTCTTTAACCAAAGGCACATGGGGAATTTGTTTTGGACAATGAATTTGAATTCTGTTGGGGTTGATATTGTATCTTTTAAAGAGGGCACATTTACCCAGAAACGAAACTGTAAACTCCCGTATTTTCCCAGAGAGCTCCTATTGCTTTAATAATCTAGTTATCTGGGAATCTCTTGAAGTATCAAAGGGCCAATTATGTGCTGCCCGGAGAGGACCAGGGAGAGCTGGTTTTGTGCTGGAATTAATAGATACAGGCTGGTCGCAGCAGGTCTGATGTCCTCCCTAGCTCACCACTGTAAATTTGCAGGGCAGAGGTAGTAATTGTTTATTTTCATCTTGCATCGCCTCTTTGCTCAGCAGGAGTCATTCTGAACAGGACTGCATGGTTTTGTCTGATATTTAGACAAGACATTAAAGACAACTTTAAATGAAAAACCTTAGAAAAACTGATCAAGAATGGCTTGTAATGGCTTGTGACAAGGTGGGGTGGGGACTGTCTTATGGAGGAGGTAGACATCTTCTGTTAGCTTGATGTTTTAGGGGAAAAAATGTGTCTTATTTTCTGACCTTCAAATAAGAAAGAAAAAGACACCCTCCCTTTCTTCAAAACAACAGGCTTCATCTTGGATTAAATAGTTGGCTTTGTGGCCTGAGTATAGATTCCATCAAGACTGGGTCTTGCTTCTCTCTGCAGGGGCAGTGCTCTCAAATAGGGTACTCTCACAGGTTTTCTTTTTTTTTTTGAAAGGAAAAATCATCAGGACAAGTCAGGAGTCCTGTGTGAAACCAACATTTGTGTGGAGATGAGCAGATGATCTGTGCTTAATTATTTCTCAAGGCTGCCAGTAGATAGCTTATTTTTAAAGGCAGGGTTTTATTAGAGCATCGCTGCTTGCTTCACACTCTCTCTCCAAACTCAATTGCTTTTTCATGGTGGTTTGCTTCTTGATTCCAGTCTTGTGTATTGAAGATGAATGTCGTTTCTCTCTAATTCCTGGAGATAGACTCTGCTTTTGGAGCTAGGACCTAACTCTCTCTGGCATTTCGGGTCATGATCGGTATTTCCAAAGGGGACTGCTCCAACACCTGAGACTCGAAGGCTGAAATGTAGCTGCATCTGTTTCCTCCGTGGGATCTCTCAGTTCAGAGGAATGGCCAAAGTAGCTACTTCATGCACCGATCCTGCCACTGCCAGGTTTTGTTCCCACGGCTTAGTTATCTAGCGGGTACAGAGCCTGGTTTATGTTTATTCAGGCTGAAACGGCACTAAAATCTTGTGTTGCTTTCGCAAAGTGAGTTGGTAGGAGATGATTTTGGTGACAGCGTTGTTGGCACGCTTGTGGCGTCTTCTGTCACACAGGCATGCTTTTGCTGGCCTGATGGAGCCTGGAGAACGCTTTCCTTGCCTGCAGAGAGAGCACCTTTGCTGTGGAAGGGGAGTTTGCTGTTTTAACTGCACTGGCAGGCTTTTTCTTGCAGTCCTGTGTGCTGCATCTGTAATCCCTTACAATGTCTGCTACTTCAAGATCCTCTTTCTCCAAATCTTTAAAGCTGAAGATAGACCATCTTGGCTGCTGAATTTTTGTCTAATGCTGCCTTGAGTGCTTTTTGCAATGCGGCTGCACACAGCAGCAGGCTGAGAGGGCCAGGCCTGGCTTTCCATCCCAATGGAAATCTGCACAGCTCTGTGTCCCCTTCCTCCTGAAGGCTTTGTCTGTGGGACGTCGGTTTGACTGGCTAGCTGGACTGCCATGAAGAAGGTCGTGTGCTTCAGTATCTCGCGGACTTTTGCAAAGTTGGAGGTAACAAGTCCTGGTCTCTAGGTCTAGACACAACTCCTTGAAGTCCCGATGCCAAGATTCTACTGCTACTCACCTTCATTTGCTCTTGTCTCTGATAATTTGCTTTCCCTCCCTGCTGAGGGAGGGGACTCTCCAGCTTTCCTAGCATATCCGAAGTCCCTCTCCCAGCGCTCCAGTCCATCCAGCCTTACCCTCTGCAGTTGTGTTTCTTGGTTCTCTAGGCTCGAATTGCTCCTTGTGTGATCCTGCTGTGACCTGCACGACCAGCGCAAGCTCTTGAGGTGCTGTCAGAAGGAAAGGCTTCCCGCTGCGGTTCCCAGCCCTCTGCCATTGCGCCTACAGCAGTGCGTGATGAACCGTACAGAGCGGTGACTTTGTGCGGCAGCACGGTGGTCCCCGAGCCTTGGTTTGGGAGCCACGGGGACAGAGAGGTTGTGTCTGAGCCGCCTGGGTGGAGGCTACTCCCACCAGCGTTGAGGGTCTGTGCAGGAGAGTCGCAGTCTGCAAGGTCAGCAAGGCTCAGCGGCAGTGAATGAAGGCTGTTGCTTAGGACCTGGGATATTGGTGAAATTTGGATCATGGTTCAAGAAAGTTCAGTTTTTCCAGCGGCAGTGATTTCTGGCTTTGCTTATGAAGACAGGAAGATACTGCTTTTGCTTCAGTGAAGTTAAGTTCAGCTCTTGAAGGCTAAATACACAATTTCATTTGAACGTTTTAATTTAAAGTAGTAATTAACTCAGTATTTCATGCATGAAATATTTCATGTATTTAATAATGTGTGCCTCTTTTGGCATGAGATTCTACCGGCTGATTCAGTTCTACTGCATGCTACAGTTAGATGGGTCATCTCTTGCTAGAACTTGGAGCAAGGGTATGTCGAGGAGAAGAGTTGGATGAATCCAGGTGGAATATGCTGTTCTGCTGTTGACAGATTGGCCTAATTCTAAGATACACCATGACACAGTGGTTTTTGTGCTTCCCCCCAAGCTGCACAGCTCAAATTATTCAGGAACTGATTTTTCTACAAGTACTAATCAGTATGTTGTTAAAAAATATTTCACATTGCACTTCTGCAGATACCATGAGGCACTTCATAAAGAATCTCAACATTTCCATAAAGAGAAACGTTTCTGACTGAACTTTCTGCTTTCTCTAGCTTCCTGGTCGCAATTATAGGCCAGGCTACAATGCTGATGTTGGTGACAAGTGGATCTGGCTGAAATGAGATCTGCCTCCCCTTGGAGCCCTAACCGCAATGGACCACAGGACCTGAGTGAAGAAGCTGAGTTCAGTGTGCCTGCTCCACATTGGTTGTGTAGTGTGAAGAAAACGATGGATAAATCATAGATCCCTAGAAGGGAAATCACTTTGTTCTGGTTTGTTCTTCCCTGATGGATTTGGGGTGCTCTGTGGATGTTGGATAGTCAGTGTGTGATGCCAAAGTGACCTGGTATTACAGGGGCGGACCTAAGACCAAGGCTGAATTTTCTCTTCATCAAGACTGTGGCAATTATTATACAGGAGTATTGTTGTTTTGCTGAATCAAGGAAAAATTAAACCTGTATCCTCCTGTCTCTCACACTGTTAATTTCTTTCTCTGTTGTGCATGGTGTTTGATTAGTTTCAGTAGAAGAGTGCACATGCTGAAAAGACCCAACCAAAACCCAATGTACTTGCATCGTGTTCTGAAAGCCTCTTGCTGGTCATCAGCATCAAAGCAGGCAAGCGTAAAAAAAAGTTCATTGAGAGAAGGAAATGACTGTTGACCTTAATTTAAACAGCAAAATATCTGTGTGTAAAAGTATAAAAAACCCTATTGAAAACCGTTCCCAGCAGTTGTACTCATAGCTTCTTCCTTTAAACGGGCGCTGTAGATAACAATGTTTGTCGGGTATAAAAGACAGACGTAATTATTATTTTTGCAAGTCCCTGAAAGTCCAAGTTGGAGTTCTTATTAAAGAAATGATTCATTTGGTATTAGTTAGTCACACAAACGAGGCGCCTTGGCGTTGGTTCAAGCCATGCTGTCCAGATTTAGGCTGCAGTAGTGCTGAGTTTCCAGCGAGGGGCTAAACGACTTCAGTCGCCGAGTACGAGCTCTGCCAGGCATTCCAGTGCTCAGGGCAGTGCCTTTGAATTAGTCAGCCTTCCCATATCAGAACTCTATGAAAAGTCTCCTTTGACAAGAGCCTTGGGGGCCTGGTTAGATACTGAAATAAGTGAGCAGTGGGATAGCAATGTGGCTCTGCTCACTGATCTCTCAGCTCGTTTTCCGCGTTTTATGGCTTCACAGAGTGTCGCTTCTGGGCACGGAGGGATTGACTGGTGCCGCTGTGCTGCCCTGCACTGATGCAGCTGGTGGCTTCGGGGTGACCGGCCAGCGCTGTGCCCTAGACCTGTGTGGAAATGCGGCAGGACGGGTGTAGTCAGCCCTGCGAGGCTGGGCGCTTTGTTTTCAACCGTTGCAAGATCCTTGTGCATTTTTGCCTTCCAGAGCCTGCTTATTGGGATGCTGGACCTGTGCGTGCTGCAGCTCAGCCGTGTGCTTCCTTACCCCGTGTCTCCCTGGAAAGATGTATCTTGGCGCTCACGCCTGACGACCTGCCAGCCTGAGCTGCTCTTGTCTTCTGTGCAATGAGATCCTGAGCAATTCATGTTAGCTTTTCTTTACCTGCCTAGAGTACCCATCTCACAGCAGTGAGCAATGAGTGTGGGGATGAAAAGAACATCTGCTGTGGCTTTAGGTTCCCTTTGGAGTAGTCCAGATCTGTTTTTACAGGTGTCCTCCATCTCCGTATTGCTGTGTTCTCCAGGTTGTGTAATTCACTTGGCAGTGTCGGTGCAGCCTGATGTTGATCTCTTAGAAGGGTGTTTTGTGTTGTGTGTAGTGCTGGTGAAGCTGTTGTGTGTAACTTTGCAATAGTGGAGTGCAGAGCATTCCTAAGAACCGTCCCTGCCTGCTCCAGCAGCGCACGGAGAGCTGAGCTTTGGCTGTGAAAGAGTTTAACTCCCGTCAGGAAGAGCAGCGTTGGCTTGTATGGCAAGCAGTGCGGTGTGACAAAATGCATGTTGAGCATATATTTTTTTTATCCTGGTCTTAACTCTGCTTTAAAACTGTTTATAAACTAAATCTGTGAAGGAAGTAACTTTCTCTTCCCTTGCTGTAGGAAGGAGTGTTAGCTGTGTTTTTCTCTTCCCTCCTTCCCACTCCCAACACCTCAAAAAAAACATCACTTAGCAAACCAACTGTAAAGATTTTGGCTTTTGAAGACTCTGCTGTGCCAGTTGGATGGTTCTATCTCCATTTCTTTATGTTAGATTAGAAAAGATAAAATGGCTGAAGTCCCCTCCACACCTCTGCTTGGTGCACATGGGATACCTGCAGTCGGTCCTCTTATCCCGAGTTCCCATCGCCTCTGTTGATGCACAGGGAACTTTGCCTCTTGTCTGTCCTGCCCCATGTTTGATCCTGCCTGCTTTACGGAGACAGATCCCCTGGGGATGGCGGTGTCTGGCAGACAGCCATCAGCCACGTTTTAAGGGCAGAACCACCGGCTTTCCTGCTGCCTGCAGTCGGTCAGTCGGGGAGCCCAGCGACTCCCTCCCCCTTGGGTTCACTTTTCGGTTGCACAAGAGGGTTAAAGAGAAAGAGGAGGCAGGAATGGAGGCACACAAAACGCTTGACGTGCTGCAGCCCCAGATGACGATGCCTCTCAGCTTCAGGAGCCTGTGATTTCATGCCAACACCTGTCCCACTCTAAAAACTCGGCTTACCGCATTTCAGATTTGGACTTTTAACCATCCCCCTCTGGCCTTTGCTGTGGTTGACTGGCGAGTGTTTGTGCTTTCCCAGTGTGTCCATTAATAGCTTCCTTGTCAGCTGGGGGACAGCTGGGACTGTCTGGGAAGTGACACGGTCAGCCTCTCTGCTGAAGGTACCTGCCTGTGTCTGAGCCTCATCATGTGTTGCACTTCAGCTGGAGGCGTCGACCCCTCACCTTGTGCTCTTCAGCGGTGATGTTTGGCCCAGGGCTACAGATCTCTTAATTGCTGAGTTTCTTCCCCTTCTTCCTTCGAGGTGTAACTTTCATGTTTTCGTAGTGATGAGGTTTGGATGTGAACCATGCTCCTTTGGTTCTGTGAAAGGAAGGGGCTGCTGCAGTGAAAGAGAGTTGCTGTCTTCCCACCACAGGCAAAGATTGCCATGAATCCCTTCTGCGGCAGAGCTCGCTGAGCGAGCATAGTTCAGGTGCACAGCAAATTCCAGCTGCCTTCCACGCTGTTACAAACGACTGGGCAAAATGAATCATTCGTGAAAAAGTTAACGGAAGCGACCAAAGCAGAGGGAAGGTGGGATGGCACACAGTGGCCTGACAGGCTGCTCTCCAGAGATGCGCCTGCTTGGGTCGAGTGCAGGCTGAGAGCTCATGGAGAACCTCAAAAGCCATCTGCATTCCAGGAGGTCCTAGAGGCAAAGGAAGTCCAAAGATCAGTGAAAGGGTTGACTTTGTGTTCATGTCCTTTTGTTGACTTGTGTGTGATACTGGGCAAGCTTCTTGGAAGCGCATGGCCTTGGGAGCTTCCATCTGTGTCCGTCAAAACCAAGTCTGTCTGGCTGTTGCTTCCTGTGACCCTGCTCAGCTTGTATGCGCAGTGAGTGTTTGAAAGATGGGGTAGGTGTTCAACTCTCCAGTGCTTTCCTCGGGGCTGAAGGGAGGTAGGGTCTAGGTTTCCCCAGCAGCAATGTGCGGTGCTGTGGTCCCAGCTTGTCTTTCAGCTACGCTGATGAGAGGGTGCCATGTCTTGCTCTCGCTGTGGTGATGAGCAAACCCTTGGCCACCCAGGAAACTGCTTTGCTCCGGTTTTGGAGTCATGGGTTGGAGATGATCTATCATGCTAGAGATCTTTCCTGAGAAAGGGTAGTCCCTTCCCCTGGCAGTCCCTCAGTCAGAAGCACTTCATGTGCTCTCACCCTGGTAAGGCGTCAGCCTTCTCTACATAGCTACCGCTCAGATAGCGTCATAGCGTGAGCATTGCAGGTGACAGGATGGCATGAAACTTGCTAGTTCTGCTCTGGCTCCCAGCTTTAAGTCTTTATTTGCCAAATACCTAATTCACAGCAAGATCAAAACAAGCGCGTTGCCTGCCAGGGCAGTGTAATTCCTCTGCAGGTGCTGGAGCCCAGCCTCACTGCTCCTATCTGATGGGACTGCTCCTGACTATTTGATTCCTACCAGTGTTCTCCACCCTCCCAAACAAAAACTCCAGGTACAAATGATACCTAGATCTTGCCTGCCTGAGAAAACTTAGTCTCAATTAGCCTAGTGCGTTCCGAGCATCTTCAAAGGTAGCCAGGCATTGAAGTCCATGGCAGCCGCTGCGGTTCCCTCCGGGAGAGGTAGACACCACACCTCATTCCTCCACCTGCTTGTGGATCAGCAGTTCACGGAGCATGGCCTGGGGACACAATCCCAGACAGGGGATGAAGCCTGCACTCCCGCTTGGCGTGCAGGCTGCAGCACCTACGGCAGAGCGTTCCCAGCTCTCGGCTCTGTCTCCGCACGCAGGCGCGAGGTGGAGAAACTTGAGGATCGCGGGTGGGTCTGGCAGGGCGCGGGGTCGCAGGCGTGCCAAGTGGGGAGCATGCTTCTCCCAGCCATGGGCTGAAAGCTGTGGCAGAGCAAAGGTGTTGGTTTCTCAGAGTTCCTTATCTCAGTGCTGCAGGCGGCCTCCTTCCAGCACTCCTGGGAATAGTGGGGGATGGGGTTGTGCTGCCTTACAGTGCCAGAATAGCGCAGCGATGGGTCTGCATTTTGAGAAATGGAGTGTAAGCGTGATTTGTCGAGCCACTAATATACAGCTTTGCTCTTTCCTGATTCCTTTTCTTGCTTACAAGAAGGCTGGCCCAAATAAATTGCTACTTTGGAGGCTCATTTCCTTTTTGGGAATCAAATTCTTTCATATAAAGTGCACGGTAGAGTTTGTGTAAAGGGAGTTGGGGCATGCAAAAAAGTTTGGCCAAGACCAAGAAGGCATGACCAGTCCAGCCCTGGCTTGACCTGTGTTGGCCCCCAGGCTTTGCCCGTTTGTTGGTGCCTGCTGTCATCTTTAAGTTTTTTGGGAAACAAGGTGGATTTTTGTCATCCTGTAAGATAGAGCCCAGCCACCCCTCAGTCCCCAGGCAGGAGGAGGGAGATGAGCAGACCCTTCTGGCAGGGCTTCAGC